TGGTTTTAATTAATACATATCCCCTTACTTGTCTTTTAATGGATTATATTGTATTATATTTTCTGTCTGTTGTTTTAATGTCCTTTTATGGATTTTCTTTCATCTGTTTTTGTGGAGTAAAGAGGGCTCTTGTTTCTCAGTGTCTCCAGCTCTCTCTCTCTCTCTCTCCTCTTCTCTCTCCTCTCCAACACAACACAAACAAACACAAACACACACACAAATAAAACAAAGAAATGTGACCTATGCCCTTGTGTAGTTTGCTTGTATGTTTGAAGTTTGATAACTTATTACTTTTTTAACATTAAACGTTCTTGCTTATTGTTTGTAGTGGACAGTTAGAGGTTGTGTCAGTGTTTAAGAGCACAAATACATTTTAAGTGATTCTCTCCGCATTCTGTAAATGAATGATTTCAATCAATCCACACACACATCCTTCCCATGGTTCCATGCGTGTTGGATTGTTATTGGATCTCACCCTTAAATGGTGATGTAGTATTTTTCACATTATTTTTATTTTATGTTTTTGTTAACATTTTATAAATTTGACTCAAGGTCCATCTGATGATTTCCTCCTCACACGCACTGTGGCCGCGCAGATCACGGTTGCCTAGCGACGGCAGTAGCGTTCCTGTTGTCCCTGAGAGCCACTTGTCTGAAATGCAGACGCAACCCACGTAGGTGGGGGGTAAAGCATTACTACCAGGCAGGGGGTAATTAGGCTGTTTAAATCGCATATTAATGCCTTGCTGTCACAGACAATCTTTAGTGTTGTGTAACAGATACAAAACGGATATGTCGCACTGTTTGTGCCCCCAGGGCTCTCAAGTTTCCGTTACTTGTTCTCCACTGTGTAACGCTGCATCATCATCATCCTCTTCATCCTCTTCATCCTCTTCATCGTTACTTTGTGACCAATATCCTGCCGCCTCGAGCGCTGCTGGCCAGATGGCGTCTCGCGGTAATCTCCTTACCGCCGCGTGCCGCATGTTCTTCTGAATGAGGGAGGTAAAACAGAGGAGAAAGAGCAGCTTTGTCAAGTTCAGTTGTGGTGTCATTCAGGTTTTGTTTTCTGTCAAAGTGTGCACCAGGACGACGGAAAACATAATGTTTGGAAAGGACTATTTTTTCAACTGGAGCCGTGTCTGCTATCGCTGACAGACAGACAGGTGTGTGGGGAAATACAGGTAGCTTGTTTTGCTCGACTCCTGCCAGAGCAACAAGTTGAATGTATCTAGACGCGGCACTTGTGATGGGGATAGAGCTTTGTGCTGGGACTCAACAACGACAGGTAACCACAAGGAGCTACCAGATATTTTAGCATGTTACAATATCTGCATAGATTTACACATTTGTACGGCATATAGCACCCGTTATTAGATACACCGTGAGCTTTCCTGTTTTTTTAACGGACACAGCAGGCAACGGGGTCCAAGTAATTCAACACTAGAGATGACCGCACTGCTGGCCTCTTTTTGTGTGTCAAAATGTGAAATTGAAGCTGATAAGTATTGTAATGAAGAGAGCTTTGGCCTAAGCCTCAATTTCCAACAAACTTATGTGAAAACCCGTTCGGTTGGATAAAAACCTGGAGGCCAGATGCCAGAGGAAAAAGGGCATGTTTAATTCAATGGAAAATGAAGAAAAGGGGAAAGCAATGTAGCAGTATCAGCTGAGCTGTGCCTCCATCAAGCTGTACATGATAGTGTAGGCTTTGGCTAGGGAATAGCCTGCATGGCATTTCACTCTCCTCAGATTTGTCTCATGTTGGATTTTGGTCTCTCTTTCCTTCTCTCCTTCTCTCTTTTCCCTCTCTAGATTGTGAAATCCTACCTATCATGTGAAGGCTTTGGTTGTGGTTTGTGTGTGTGGGTGTGTGTGCCAGGGACAGAGACAGTGTAACAGAGAGCTAAGCTTCGTAGCCTCACCCTTGGGGCACTGGCCTGTAAAAAATGTCCCTGTAACCCTGGAACCATGAAACCATGACAGTCATCACTTATTCAAGCGCTGCTGGAAGGCTTCCGAAAAAAATCCAGGTTCTCGAACATCCCTCTGCCTGCGGGAATGTTCCAGAACCCCTGTCCGAGACTCTAGAACCACAGGTCATGCTGGACCGCTCCGGGAATCCGATTCGGGAACCCTGCGGGGTCAAAGGCCAGAGATGGATTGGTGACGAGAGAGGAGCACAGGGAGAGAAAGCGAGAAGTAAGAGACAAACATGGGCGAGAGGAGTCAGCAGAGAGAGGATGGATGGAGGGAGGAGAGAGGAGCAGTGTAACTTAAGGAATAAATGCAACAAGGAAGTTAGAAAAAACCTAAAAAGTGGGAGGGAATGTGTGGAAGGAGCGCTCAAGAGCAAGACGGATGTCTCGGAGATCCTGTCGGTTGCAGAAACACAAGGTGAAATCGAGCGAAGGGAGCAAGGGATGGGGAAAAAGAAGAGGTGGCCTGTTTTTATCTGGCCATTTCACCTGAGAAACATCACTGACGGAGAAGTGGAGAGAGGGAAAAACGTGATGAAAGGGATGAGGCGACATCACATCTTCCTCTGGTTAATTCTCCTCCTCTTCAGCCTGTGCCCAATACCTGCTTCATCACAGGTGAGAGTGGCTTTCGAGAGCCAATTGTCATTTCTGATCCAAAGACTGTGGAATAATGATTGTTAAACAGTGTGCTGTGTCTGAATTATTTAATAACTATCAAATAGGCCTTTTCCTCAGCACATGTTTTGACTTGTCATTGCAGGGAAATCACAGGTGTAACTGAAACCATTAACAATGGTTCTGTTCTATTCAAGTGTCCCAGTAACTCGTGACAGTGTGACAGTGATCCAGGACCTTGAAACTGAAGCAGCTAAATGGGATTCAGGCATCATTAATTTTATTATTTACGCCTGTGCTTTTCCTACTGTGACGTGTCAAAATGTCTTTAGTGAAAGTGGCCTGCTGGAGACTACAAAGTAATTAATGTCCATACGACAGATATCTCCAAGTGTAGTCTGTTTTCTCACAAAGTTATTGAAATACTAATATATTTTAAATGTACTGTATACATAACAATATAGTATATGATAACCCTATTGTGTAACCCTTTTTATAACACTAAAGGGACATTTCCCGCGAATGGAGAACATTGCTGCCTTCAAACCTGTGTCCACGTCCCCGGCTCGTTCCACCTGTGGAGTTCCCGAGCGGAGCAGCTACTGTCAGACGGCGTCCTCCCGGTCTGAGCTGATGACGTGTTATCAGGCCTTCTGTGTCCAGGAGTGTCCTTATAGATCCTCCACTCCTCCGTATGCACCACTGCTGCTGCCTGCACACAGGTAGGTCATTTATAGTAATGTTTTTAAGGGATATGTGGAAAAAAGGAAACATGTGACTGTATTCTGTGATTGTCAACATCACCCCCCAAAAAACTTCACTATTAAAATAAGAGTTCTCTTGTAATAGAATATCTTGGCATGTGACATATATTTAAACTCTATTCCACCAGGGGTACCTGTGTAACAGAAGACGTTAACGACACTCGTCCTGGGACTCAGACAGAGACTGGAACCACTACCAGTTTTTCGGGGGCTTCTGGCGGGTCCAGTAGTGTGCTGTTTCGGCCAGTCCAGGATGGATGTCTGGTCTCTCCCCCCTCGCAGAGTCTCGGAGCGCTGGGCTCCCTCACTCTGGCATTGTGGATAAAGCCAAGCTCACCGGGGGAGATGTGAGTTTGATTTTCCTAATTTCTGAGAAATGAGATTAATATGTCAGTTGTAATCAGGAGTCATTTCCGTTTGGTTTTACTGTGCTTTACAAAAGATGCTGATGTTGGATCTTAGCTCGCTATTTCTCTCTGGGGAGTCCAGTAAAGTCCATGCAGACAGAAGTAAATGTTAGGCATCTTTTTTTAATTTAATATCCTGTGGAAAAAAAGCAAAGGTCAGATATGGAGCCATTATTGTAGCAAAACTATTTACAAGTGTGAGTGGAGAGATCTGTATCTGTACTGAGATTTGTGAATGTGTACAGGAA